AAAGCCGAAATTTCGTTCTTAGTAACTTGAATAGGGTCAAATAGCTCGCTTCTGTAAATACGGAGGGAAAGCCTGTGTGTGTCTCTTTTTGATTTTAAAAACTGAGTTATTTGTAAATTTATATCAACACACTAATTGTCGCATCCACGTTGCAAGCGATTAATATTTTTTCGCTATTTTTTTTATTTTGATGCAATAATAGTTTTGATTCTTCCAAAGATGACTGTATTATATTGCCATTAGGATGACGTTTTATATAGCAATCCCATAGCTGTTATGAGACACCAAGTATAGTTATTAGATTGTTTCTCCGCCTCCAAAATAGCTGATTCTGTGCGTCAAGCAATGATCTGAGAGACCCTGTTTTCGTGTCTTTCGGCGGTTTTAATACGGTGTCATTGGGGACCTGAACGAGCGTTTGATCGGTATTACGAACAGCTCAAGGAGATCATTCACCGGTAGTGTAGCGTAGAGGTAAACTATAGGTATTGAACTAGGAATGTCTCTAGTTGAAATAAGTAGACAAAGTATTCTTCAACAATCTTGGGCGTGCCGCAGCGCAGCATTGTTCTCGTGTATATTCGATGTTTAGGCGCAGTGTCACGGGTGTTCGACGTGTATCGTTTATGTATTAGCTACTTAACGTTTCAATATATACGTGGTTATAAAGCGTCAAATTGTTATATATTTTTTGAATCTGTACCACGTCCTGTATTCTTGCTAAAAATTTGCTAACAAAATAAACTGGTCGAGTAAACTTTGACTTCCGCGGTTAGCATTAGGGTAGGTTAATACAGGTTTGAGGTGAAACACGATTATGTGTTATTTTATTCCTAAAAATTTACTTTAATTCAAGTATCTGATGTTTACATTGCCCTGTTTAAAATAGGCAGATTTATTCCAAGACGGGAATAAATTATGCATACTTTACGTGTTCGCTTAACTACTTTCAAACGCCCTGTAGAGGAGACTTATCGATCCATTTTTGACTCATTCGTAGTGGTGCAATAACAACCTATGCAGTTGCATGAATACCCGAACCGAGCCTCTGTGGCTATTTTAAGCATCGCGGCGCAGTAAAGACATGCATAATGCGTTCATCGTAAACTGTAGCTGAATATGGCTAAACATTGCTATGAGTGATGCTGATAGTCCCTACATGGCCTCGGGGATATTTTTAGCCCATGTTTAGTTTATAGTTCTCTGTACATCGGACTCATTTTGTTTCGTGTGATATAGGTTTACAGGTTGTTTTAGGGATTAGCTGAATGAATACAATTTTAAAGTAATGTGGAATACAAAATATGCATTTTCGGAATATGAAAGAACGAATACTACTACGATATTTGAATATGATGATGTTTCATTGATTCTAGACGGTAAGTTGTGTAAATTATACGATTCTTTCACTCTTACGTGTAATGTTTGTGGAAGCGTGAGACCATAATACTCTGTCTGCTTTTTCACCCGTTGCAATATATATCAAGTTGTTGTAGTATCGATATTTTATTAGCAAGATATGGTAGGCTTTTTAGTTTCATTGGACTGATACGGACTGACCGAACTTTTTAAAGCGCAGTTCCTAGCTTGTTTAGCGGTTTGCCCGCGGTGAGTGCGATGTAACATATACATAAATATTCTCCTAACCCGGCAAACCCTTTGTACATTTGGTCAAACCTACATAATACGGTGAACAAACGTCAAGATCACCTGGGTACATAATAGAAAGTGCATACACGATGCAATAGCCATTCTTAAGTAACTTTTCATGAATAATTGATGCAATTTTTAATATTATTTTAATATGAACTTTGTAAATATATGATTCCGTTACATGTAACAAATTTTTTGTTTGTATGAGGCGTTTTCAACACCATACTCAGATAAGTATTTGTACCAATAAGCTACGATTCTTAGGAGAATTGAAACTCCGAATACTTAATCGGAATCACCTACTTTTGTTACACCCTGTTCGGGCGGTCAACATGGGTTTGATTCGAACCGAAGTTTCTAACGTGCGACACCAACACAGTTAGACCAAACGATTGAAACTACTAGGTTACCAAGCCAATATTAGTCGACAAACGATTCACATTTTTATATTTGTAAGTTACATTATCGGTATTGATCAGGAAGTGGAAAGTTGGTTGACCAAATTCCAGTCGGACGTGTGTATCGCGGAAAAAACAAGGCTAAGGAATAATACCCCATGTATGGTTAATACCTGGCAAAAGTAATCTATAGGAACTGGGGCAATGCGTTTACATCTATTGTTAGTAAAATATAAATGCTTGCCTAATAAGCCATGCGTTCTATGAGATATTGGCTGGAATGCTCATTGATAACCTCAGCGAATAAATGCTCCTAAGAAATGTTCGATGTGCTATCAATTTGGAATGGAATATTTCTGCAAATGACTACCGGTCGTTGAAGAGAAAGGAGGGAACGTTCAAGACGAACATCGTTCTTTGTGCGATACTATACACCGGATGTGACAAGCACATTACAATATTTTACCAACATTTTATTTAGTATAGCTCACAATTTGTGTGCTCCTAATTATGTGCATCAAGAAGTACTTAATAACGTATATCGATGAAATGCATACAAGTGCTTCTTCCACCTAATGTTTTCAACAAATGTGCGCATGCTGCGATCAGCAGTATCAGTCGCCAATTATTTGCTCACAAGCTGGCTCTTTGCTACATCACAAGCATGTGAGGTCCGTGATATGAAAGATTTCTGACCTTTACAAATGTCGTCCATCTTCTGGATTGAAAGCTTTCCATCAGCATCTACGATCTATAAAAATTACAGTTTTGTGCACGCCATCTACAGTTTTACATCGTAAGAATGACCGCTCCGATCTTGCTTTAGAAATTCGAGGTCCATTTTTCTTTCTTTCGTAAAATTCAAACAACTTAATGCTTAACAAGCCTTTTTAAGATTCGATATGGTGTTCTTCAGCATACACAGTTTACACCGGTTCTCAGCATGACGATTCGGCGATGTTAAACATTAAACAATTGCCGCCATGGTCGCGTATTACAATCACAGCGGTTTTCTGTTCTCAATTTAGCGAGGTTCACGTTTATCACACCTTAATGATCAGGTTGTACGTGCACAAACATTGAAGACAAATTCTCATTTAAAAGCCTGTTTGCATATCAAACAAAGGCTATGTGTGTTACGTGACTATACAAGTTCAAGGCCTAATTAATTCACCAAAAAAAGGTTCGTTTCATAAATACTGGAGCATTGCCGAGTTTGTTTTTTTTGCAATATCGAGTTTCAGTTTGCATAGCACGAGCTGCGGCATGGGGATGAGACAAATGATTTGGAAAACATCACGCACCACTGTATACCATGATGGATAAAGAAACCTCAGTGAACAGCGACCGCAGGAATTACGTTATTGTTTTATGATAGTTAGCTGTTACGTAGGTAAACAGAAATTTCTGCACCTCTTTGAAATGATACATATTACAATTTTGTACGTGGTCTATGTTCTTCTCCCTCCGGTTAATGTGGATTATCCAAGCAAACGCTTGTTCAGGCAGGTCGCGATGGTCTCAATGTCGATGCATTTATCAACCTTATTGATATGTTAAGTCATTCACTTACTGGAAAGAATTACGCAGATTAAGGGTCCCGTGGACAATGGTATTTAATTCTCCAGTTCCGCCGCCGGTTTTATGACTTTTCAAACTCTTGAAATCCGGGTTAACTCTTAGCTTAGATCGTACATTGTACAAAGTGAGCGATAGGGCAAGTCATTCATCTTGTGGCAAAAAATTTTCGCGGCTTCTGTTTGGACTCCTTGGGAACCGAATTTGAATTCACCAAAGAGCATAATCGAACCCCTCAAACTGGTTTGAATTATGCTATCAATGCGTGAATATTCATCTTTAAAGCAATCCAATGCAATTGTTTGAGGATAGTTGTAACCAATTACTAATAGTTCCTATATTGTACGGAGTAAGTGGACTTGTCGCAGTCGAATTTGATTCATTTCACCAGTTCCACCACCTGGTTTTGGCTATCTTGACAACGCCATAATGCCGTGTTCAATATTACTATTCATGTGTCGAATATATTTTTATTATTTGATAACAATGTCTGATGTTATTTTAGTCTGATATGAGAGATGAGATAGTCTTTTATTGTATTCACTGTTATGACAATTCGACACATCTTCCGCGCTATTGTAGGTGAATATCGTTTCCCGCAGACCTTATCGCGATTGATCACAGAAGCCCGGTGCGAAATTAACTGATACTGTGATAACATGCTGAGGAAGTATATTTAGCCTGATAAGATCACCAGACAGATTACTTAAAACAGAGATAAGGACTTCAGGATATTTTCGAGAAAAAAGTATCCTACGCCTTTAAATGGAGTAAACAACGCCGTAGCTGTACGATTGCCACTCATAATTATCAATCAGCCTTTGTTTGGAGACTTGAGGGGGCAATCAGGAGACTTATGTTTACATGACAGACGATACGTTTTGGCGTCTCAGGCTTTTGTTGATTTCTGTCGTTGTTAAGCTTTACAGTTATGGATTTCCGCGTTGTCGGATTTTAAAACAAGTTGCTCTGTTCGCTTCACACTTGTGATATGCTGTGACTGTTGTTTGCGGTTAGTGACATGGATGTGAATTTGGTTTAAATGTTTTTATTGAGTAAATGTTTGCATGACAGCGCGATCACACAGAAATGACGTTCAGGTTCGAGCAGCGTTGTTACAGGATATTATACCAAGTAATGTATAGTTGAGAGATCTATATACGCACTGTTAGGCTGAACGTTTGAAAAACTAGTTATACGTAGGTAGACCCTACACTCGGTGAGCAACCTCTTGGGGCCTAAATTTCGATTGTCATCGCGTACATATTTAAATATTAGAAAATTGATGTTCATCAATTAATTAAATATTCATGAACGTAGCCGTGATTATATGGAAACCTAAGTCTTCAACACAGCTAACGTTGCGTATCTTCCTATTTCAATGTTCAGGGCATCCTTTTTATTTAAATTGTGCACAAAGTTATTGATAAACTAAACATGCAGTCTGATAAAATATTTGTTCACAATCGCATCGGATTACTCAGTGCGATGAATTTTATTCAGTCGCCTAACTCTACTCGTTCTCGTGGTAGTACTACGACTACTGCGAGTACTATTGCGGTTTCGCCGCGTTTACCTTCGCCTATTTCGGACTTGGAAGAAGACAACGGATATAAGTCTTGGGAAAACGCAGGAAGAAGTGGATCCACAGAAAGTGAAAGCGATTTGCCGCCAATTTCATCTGGAAGGTCGTCTGCGAGTGATGTATTTATGCCACCACCTACAAGTTCGGCTGTTTTGCGACGCAGAGTTGAAAAGAATTTTGCAGCCACTCCGGTATCAAAACCAAGAGCTGGAAGTGGAAACCCTTGGATCACAAGCACTCCATGCACAGAAAGTGCGGCCACAAGAACCATGCAAAACAGAGGGCAAAAATTACAAATTCCAAACGAGAAAAAATCAGTAAATTCGTCGCTAAATTGGGACTCGGTAGATGAAGGACGTTCGTCGCAACAGTTAACACAAGAAGATTGCTGTGATCACGAACTGTGTGAATGTCAGCCTCAGTTAAAATTCAGTTTTGCCATTAACTGCGATGAAGGCAGTAGCGTGGTTCATAGTACATTTTCAGACGTTGAAAGTCTGTCAGAAGAAGATTTAAAATTTGAGGAAGACGAGAAAGGTAGCTTAAGTCTAATTTTTGGTAATCAATTTATTACCGTAAATAGGCGTTTTTTTTATCACGATCAAATTAAAATCAGATTCCATGGTAGCTATGTAGCGTACGATAAATACGAAAATAGCCAAGTAATTGACCATTATTAATCTCTTAAAATTTACTTTACCTGCTTTTTCTTTCAGTACTCAGCGGGGATCGGTTGAGCCAAATGACACGAACATACCATGATATTGAAGCAGTAACACATTTATTGGAAGAGAAGGAAAGAGATTTGGAACTAGCAGCTCGTATTGGACAAACTCTTTTGCAAAAGAATAGGGATATTGTGCATCGCAATGAACAGCTTGAAGAGCAATTAGCTGGAGCTTTAGAAGAGGTTTGTTGTCTCAAACTGCATTATTTTCAAACTTTTAGGCGTACTCACATGAATGACTTTCAACCTTTGTTTGTTTCAAATGTTACTTTCCAGGTCTCACAGTTGCGCCATGAAATTAGTCTCAAAGAAGACTTGCTTCACACCTATGCTGACGATGAGACAGATTCAAGTGGCGCTCCTTCCCCTGTCAAAGGTTTGTAATTCATACAGTCATTTGAAATTTGTCCTTTCGGGAAATTGTTTACCTTCATGAACTTTACCTTTTATAATCTTTATCAGAACTCAAGAACTTTGGCCGAACAGGAATGTATAATCATATTGAAAGCCTTCACAACAAGATTCGTAAATTAGAATCTGAAAATGGCGTACTCAAAGTTGAGAAAGTGCAAGCTCAGAGTGAAAACGAAGCATTAGAATCAGAAGAACAACAACTGGTTTCTGATGCAGTGAAAGAACTAAATGCTTTGAGAGAGGAACTAAGTAAGTAGAGACCGCTAGATTGTATTTGTCACTCCTTGATTTTGAAGTGATCATTTAATCAACATGGTTTTTATTTTTGTGTTACTTCTGCTAAGGGTTGAACTGCCGCAATTATGGATCTAATACTCATATCATAATCGTAATAGGTATTTTGATGGTTAGGAATTTTCGGTACAATTAATTGTAAATTCTTGGCCACTGTTTGTTGTGCTTCAGTCAAAAAGCACGTTTCATTAGATATAACTGCAGATACATTGTGATCGTGTATTTATTTCGTACATTCTGTCGTGTTACTTCCATATGCTTGTCATCATTATTAATAATTCGTATCTTTATAATGTTTTATTGTAGGAGAGGCAAGAGATAGTAACAAACTTCTTCAAGAAGAATTGTTGCTAAGAAATGAAGAATCTGTTCGCCAACAAGAGGAAATTACTAGGTTATTGACACAAATTGTTGACATGCAAAGGAAACAGAAACAACTTGCTCTTGAAAATGAAGAATTACAACAACATCTCACTGCTGCTAACAACACTCAATATGAACTTACAAGAGAGGTGATTACTTGATACTTTTTGTAGTGAATATACTAGTTTCCAGTACCTAATGTGATCAATTTTAAATATGCATACCCTCTTTTTTCCAGATTCAAGCCCTAGAAGACAGATATCAGGAAGTTACAAATATGCTTGACGAGACTAGAGAAGAAGCTAGAATACTCAGAGACAATCCTGAACACTATGGAAGAACTGTGCCTTTTAGTGACTCTCTTGCTGCTGAGTTAGAATGCAGTGGAGGGATGTCTGCCGAAATGAATTTCCAAGATTTTCCTCAACCTAATAGTTTCTATAATCCTTTGTCTGGTTCCATTGAATGGTCGTCTCCTCCTTCAAGTGTGGTTGATGAAGATAATGATATTGAAAATATTTCTCCTGACACACGTGAGACTTTAAAATTGTCAAGATATACGAGATCTGAACCAAGAATTAGAAGTAGGAGAGATGAAACGTTTAGTCAAAGAGTTCTAAATACAGCAAGATTCGTCAACAACGTGAAAAACTTTTCGATGAATTCCAAATTCCAGGTACGACCAATACTTCTTTTTACTAATGTTTACTAATAAACATAATCATTTGATTAAAATTTGTATTTATTTATTGTTTAGTATACAACTCCTAAAAAGCAAGATCGCCCTATTCCAACTCCTCTTCCAATACCTGGATCAAATAGGCTCCCATGCTTTATTCATCAAGCTTCCCCAGAAAGTGGGCAATCATCTGGGTAGGTCTTATTGTATAATTGTTTATCATTATTATTATTAGATAAAATATTACAAGTTGGCTAATATGCATGTGGGTATGTTTGTTTGGTCATGGAAACTATGTTTGTAGCTGTTGTCACTTACGCAATTATTAGGCAATTACAATATTATATTCAATTATGCAAATTCGTAATTTGAGCAAAAGCAATGGAAAATATGGCTACATTTAGACTGTTGTTGGATATTCACTTCAAGGTACCTTTTCAAAATGTTAATTCATATGTAGCAAATTTGATTAAGTCAAATCATATCTCTAATTTTTTAAATCAATTGTGCTTCCAGCTTGAGGTTGTGTTTTTTGCTATAGATTGTCCCATGTTGGACTGCAGTTAATACGTAAATATTATTGAATGTAATTTGCATGTTATTCTCTCTTTTTATCCCTTTCCTGCTTGTTTCCCTTTCTTGAACCCCAGCAGCCGATGCATGTCAAGTACACCTCATGACAAACACCGTCTTGCTAATCGTTCGTCCATTTATCACAATTACACCCAAAGTATACATGGTTGCGTTACCCCACTCAAAAATGCATCCTCTACCACCCCATCTTCTGTTTCAAACACAAAATCATCCTCACTTCGCTTACAACTCGCAAATAAAAAATTATTAGCCCAACAAAGTACAACTTTGCACAATGCTCAAAAAATTTCAGCCTTGTCTGAATCCACCAAATCCTCCCTTTCCCGTCACAACCGCTCCCTTTCTGCTTTGCCGAATAAGGCCGAGGAGATTTGCAAAAAGAGAGCTGAGAGATCGTGGCATGGAGAGTCTTTGGAGAGCTTGGCAGAGGAGAGTAGCCCAAAGCTGGGGTGAGACTTCAGTAATCAGAAAGTTTGCAATTCTGATTTGAATTGTGTCATTCTGTGATTATGTTTTCTTAACTATATTTTCATTTCTGAATTTTCAAACTGGCTTACCACGGTTTCTACGTACAATACATGTTGTCAGTAATGTTAGTAACTGCATTAATTTGCTTAAATGTGATCGAGCATGCATTTGTGTATGCTCATTTGTTAATTCAATTCCATACACCATAGCAGACTTCTAAACAAAATGAAGAAATTGCTTTCAATTTATGTTGATTCATATCTATTTGATCATCAGATATTTCATTTCGTGATATATTGCTCTATGTATTATTCGCTACTGACGATCTTTTAATAACATATCTCCATTTTATCAGGTTGACAACCCCCAGCCTTGGACGTCCCGGTATTCCAGGAACAGAAGATTTGGAAAGAGCTATCAGGAAATTAGCTTTGAGAAGAGAGAATGCAAGATATATGGAACTTGACAGAAGGCTTGCTATGGTAAGTTAAACAACATCAAGTGTAATAATATTTTAGAAATTGGTTTCAAAAAGTGCTTTCAAACAATGCAGAGGTTTCCATTTTCACAGTTTGAAAACAATTATTTTCTGCAATATAATTCACTATGTAAATGAGAAGAAAAATTTACGATATTAACATTTGTACGAATAAATGTTTTATAAAAAATGTGCTATAATCAATGTGATAAATACATTTGCTTTTGTGCACATATTTGATCATAATCCAGTTGAATGAATTCAACTAATTTGGGCATTGTATGTCAAGTTTTGAACACGGGCAGGGTAAGAATAAAAAGTAATTCTTCTAGGAAATGACCAATATTTCGGACATATTGGGGACCACTACACTAATGGCCTTATTTTTTATCAAAGCAAATTTTCTCGGACATTCTCAAATGTTATTCTATCAATTCAATTGTTTCTCTTTTCAGAACGATGAATCATTCAATGATCTTTGCGGAAGTGGAAACAACACACCCTGGTCATCAATGCCATCTGGTGGACAAACTCCTCCACCATCTTGTCCTAGCAGCCCTAAAGGATCACGAAAAAAATATAGATATGGACCTGGGTCATCACTGGCTCCTAAATTGAGGATTGTCAAACCACTTGAAGGTCAGTTTGAGAATGATTGTTTATCTCTTTAGAGCAGGGTTCTGAACATAATATCCGTTGGAAAACGAATTTAAACTGCCTCAGAGGGTATATTTTACTTGGAAAAAATGAAATTTTTCTCGACACAAATATGCTATCAAGTTTTATTTCTTGTTTAGGATCGGTGACATTGAATCATTGGAAATTTCTTGCTGAAAGAGATCGTTTGCTGACGCTGCAACCAAGATCAGACATTCCATCTGGAATTATCACTCGCGAGCGCGTAGCTGAGGCATTATCTCGATCCCGTGACGGCAACTCTAGTAATTCATCAACAACAGAATCTAAAACATCATCAAACGAAACTCCACTAAAATCCTCAATTATAAAGATGGCGTTTTCTGGAAAGAGTTCTGGGTCCCCTCTCTGCATGACTACGGCCTTTCCTATGCCAATTTCATCTTCTCCTACTCAAAAAGAATCTGAAAGAAGTACAAATGATGATGTGAAAGCACAACAAGCGTCAACTGTTCCAATTAACAAAGGTTTGTTTCGTGTTGTCATGTGTTGGTGTCTGTCATTTGCTGTTCCACCTTGTGCATATGCACCAGTCACAACACTTTCACATTTCTTGCACACAAGCTAAACTGTACTGTTTCTTTTATGCTTAAAATATTTTCGTACTTTTGCAAATATCTTCACTTCTGAGTTCAAGAAATCACTTCTCAATCTAAATCTATTTCATGCTGCTTATCTCATGTTGCCTATACTGTGAATCGTCTTTATTTTGTTCTCTCTATCAACTTCATTTTCTACGCATTTCACTGTTAGTCACACAATAATTAATGCGAATCCCTTCACATCACTTGCAGTTGGCCCAGTTCCAACATTCTCTACTCTCACCACTGGCGACTTTATTTTAACACTCTTTTCAAAGTCTTTGTTTTAAAAGACTTATGTTTTGTTGTGTGTTCAACTTTTTGTAGGGACTAGCAGTATTCCTTTGTTTCATTTTATTTTTGACTATGCTCATTTAATTCATTTACTTATTGACTGCTTTGTCTCTTTGCTATTTTTTTTATTTTTTCCTTTTTCATTTATTTATTTATCATATTATTTTGTGACACTGTTCTATTTTAATAAATCTTCTTAATACCTGTATAGTTTTGAGTTTATTCTTTATTTGAAATTTTAATACTCCAACTAGGGTCACCATTCACCAGCCTCCAGTGTTACCCCTTTCAAAAAAATACCTGCCCCTGGCATGTCTCCCATACCCTTTCCCATCAGAGGATATAGTAACTCCTCGCCTTGGGACATATAAATCACACTTCTTTTATTGGGTATGATTTGGCATATTTTCTAAGAATAATACAGTGACTTTTCCTTAAAAAGAATCGTCCTTACTTTTCACAATGCACTGTTGTATGTCAGATAGAAATAGATTTTACAAATGACCAAGCTTAATATCTGCTATTGATCTTAAAAACCAGGAATATTGCATTGTCAAAATGCACGGATGTCTTTAATACTGGTACCAAAAAAAAATTGACAAGACAAGCAAAAAAGCAATGAAATATTTCAGTTAAATAACTGGAGACCTGATACCATGTTACTTGAGAATTACTGTATATTACTTTTTACATATCTATGTCTAATTATTTTGTATTATGTTACAGCACCAGAGATATCACCAATACGCCCGGGAAAACAGTTTCCGCTAACATTGACTCAATATACTTATATAAATAGTAGAGTTATGAACCCTACACATGAGTCTACAACTACTCCACTTTGGTAAGAATGAAGTTATTAGTAAATATTAGTAATGGCCTATTAGAAGATTTATACGAGGTATGTAGAATATTGACGGAATTAGTCATCCCTGTTCAGGTTCATACCCTGTAAGGCAGGTGTGTGCAACCTTAAATACGGGAGGGTCAGATAGAAATAACTGGGTGAGACTGGGGGCCACACCCTTATTTAACATGGGCTATCTAGTATTTGCAGGCACAAAAATTTTTGTTATTGATTTTGCGTCAATAGTTTGTTTTCATGTTGAGGCATTGTAAAGTCATAGATAATAAATTGGACTCAGGTATAGGCTTCGCAACGCAAAGGGATTGGAATTTCTCGCATATACCAAATTAAATTAAAAACTCGTTTCGCTGGCCGCAGGATGCATACCCTTTGCTGTAAGGTATAGTTCTGTGTGAGCAATTGCCGGTCTCCTCTCCGGCGTTGGGATTTACATAACCACTGGTATGCTACACATCCATTTATCTGAAACGAATAACTGATTAACTTTTCCCATACCTGACAGACTGATAATCGTTAGGCTTTCTTTATAAACTTTACTCTCCCTCGATAGAAGGAGTGTCTATTTACTTAGTGACTTATTAATATTTGTACACTTGAATGAGATTTTGACAAATTAGTTTGGTCCCCCATTGAAGCCTTTAAAAAACAATGCTGTTTCTTGTTTGCTCATCGTAAATGATTTTCTTTAATAAATGATAAAATAACTTTATTCGTTATCTACAGTTCAACATCGACTCAACAGTCAGTCTCTTCTTCTGTATCTTCTCGATCGTACTTATCTTCCATTCATCCTTTCTTATCCGGACAAACTAAGAAACAAGATGTCAATAAGCAACCGAACAAATTCATTGTTGATAATACGAGAACATGTAGTATGCAGTTAGGGCTCGCACATCTTTTCAAGGTAGTGATTGTTATTATTATTTTTTTTTTGCCTTTGGACATTGGTGTTTTATGGCAGCAATGATAATTCTTTTTGTATATATGTATGTATTCATGCCACCACAAAGATCAAATCTAATATCCAATATAAGGCGGGCAAGTTCAAATCTAACAAATCTTTTTTATTTTTGATATGCTACACGGCCCATCAAAAAATGGTCTATGCCCTCTTTCTGGGGCGCGCCCCACCGTTTGAGAACGACCTCTCTATTATATTTTCAAATGACCTAGGTACTGTTTTTTTTTGTCTGAATCACCCAGTATATATATATCAATCCTACATATCAATCATTGAAGTTGAGTGAAGTCATCCCCCCTATTTCAGTTACTCCAGTCAGTCTGTTCGAATGTGTTTTTGGTTTAGTTGTGAAACTTTCTTTTTTTCTTAAGATTTCTTAAACAAGAGAATTCTATAGAGATTAATCTGAAATCGCTTGTTACCGAAACTGTTGATTGTTACTCAGATATTCTGAAATTACTCTTTACTTTCATGAAGATAATATTTTTCATTCATATTTTTCTTAGGAGCACAGTGTCAACGGTCTTCCACCTCCAGAAATTGCACCAGCTACCAGTTCCATAGTAACATCAGAACTAGAAAAGGTATTTCAAATATATTTACCTCAAGCATATTGTACTTGTTGGCATTTATCTAATAATCTACCCATATGTTGATCTGTTGTCAATGCTTTGTGGGTTAAGTTTACTATTCTTCTAAACATATCTATTGGATCTCCACCTTAGGAGATCGTTATTTTCAGTTCTGTCTGTTCGTGTATCTGTCGGTCTGTTTAGATGTAGCGTCTTCACATGGGTTATACAGCCACCCAAGATATGCGCGTTTCATAGAAAGTACGGATTGAAGTTTCATCTCCATGACAACAATGAAAAAATAGTTATGTAAGATGTGCATGTTTCTTTGGATGGTAACTGATTGCTTGAGTGCAAGCCTCAACTATCAGCGGCGATCCTGGGCGCTTGTTTATAATAATAATAACATTAAGGGTTATTTAAGGGTGGCTGTACAAATCTTGGTTTACAAAATTAAAAAATCTGATCCAATTTTGAAAACATAAGATCTTTCAAGGATGACTATTTTATTAAAATTAACTAAGATAAATATTGACCTGGGACCTTTATTTGATTAGAATGGTGATGTAGAGTCGCCACCCCTTCTCAGCAATGGAGAAAAGTCAGCTTTCACTCTGACTTCAAATGCTGAAACTCGATCATCTGCTGGACATGTTGTTTGGAACAGGAGTTTACAAAGAACATTTTTATTGCCTTCTTCACTTCCTACTAGCAATATTCTCTTCAATTTGAATAGGTTTGTAATCATCTTTCTATTTTCGTGATTATTTCAAATACAATTGTTCATGTAACTGCTGGTCGTATACGGCTTTCTCCGACATCTGAAACAAATAACTAGCTAATCCTATACCTAACATGGACTGGAAACCAGACGAGAGGCTGAGCTTCGCCATATGATTATTGAGTTGTGTTAGACTTTCCTCTTTTCCAGGATAATTATGTGAATCCTTTCCTATATTTAAAACTTGGCAAAATGATCTAGTTGGATTGTCTTGATTGTACAGGTTATCCAGCACTGTTCGATCAGTATGTCTACATTCTACTGGGGTATTGGGGTCAATGCTCTAAGCATATCTCTAAATATTCGTCCACTATAACAGAGTTCCAGGAATCAGGAAATGTGGACTTCGAATTTCAACTAAAGTTTTTGATTTTCAAATTGAAGCATATTAGAACTTTTATGAGAGCCTTGCTACTATCAAAATCAACAAATAAAGTAGTGTGTAAGATTTTTCCAGATTTTCTCCCCTGCGATGCATAATTTAGTGCCATTCTACATTTTAGGAGAAGTGATTCAAGAAAACCTGAAACACCTCCAAATTCACCATTAACTAATGTACCATCTTCTTCATCTTTTCTACTCAATGAAATCATTTCTGAAACAACTTCACCAACTCCAGAGGAACCTCAGGTTTGTACTTACATTGCAATCATATGATTTGTGTACTCTCTTAGATAATTGTGATAAATGTAACACTTGTATTGATTCCTGAAAAGCATGTCTTGTGTATGAAATGTTTATTCTACCATGGCAGTATTGCTATGTAATCTATTCTTTTATATGTGTTTAATGATAAATTAATATTACTAATATGTAAATTTTATTTCATTATAAAGACGAGTATTGCAAAAATATTGTTGCCTTTTTGAATATTAGTATGATTTGATTCTGGTCACATGTTTTGGTACCTTTCAAAATAGGGCTGTTAATGAATTTGCACAGAAACATCTCAGTACTGGTAAGATAGGAATTTTTATGCAAATTTTCTCAGTAAGGGTATAAGGTAAATAAATAGCAACAGCAAGATAAAAAAAATGGAAGAAAGGTTAGTTTTATCATTTAAGAATATCAACTTGTTGTCTCGTCTCGTCGTCCACAACTCTAGTTAAGAAGTCTGTATTTCTATCACCTGCTCTTATTTATTAATGGAGCAGTGGTTTTCAAATGGAAATATCCAGAAGCACTCATTGTTGATGAGATCTATTTCTAATCTATTTTTTTTTTTTTCTTAGAAAGAGGAAAAATTGTTCAGTTCAAATTTACTTTCAAAATTGGCACAAATTGGATGGATGGGATTACAAGGTTTTGCTGGAATGAAGACTTCAAGTAAGTTCATGTGTGGTTCATTTTCAAATTATATTAGTATTTCTGTCAGATTATCTATGCTGTTATTTGTAGGTTTTGTAGTTTCTACAATGAAATGAGAACAATTTATGTGCGAAAAAATTATTCATTCGAATAGCGCAAAAAATAAATAAAACAACACTCCTACCACCAATATCTTTCAGAATAGAGAGTTGATATACTGTCAACCATTGCAATGGCTGAGGCTAATTAATTAGAATTCTCGAAATCAAACAAACCAGTAGTTCTCAATTCCTATTGTCATCTTCTTAGAGATGTTTACAACTTTTATCATTCTAATTTACTAAATAATTTACAGCGCCCACGTCTACCGCAAAGACCTCTCACACAAATGCCTGCACTACTATATCATCAACAAAATTCTCATCACCAAGAAACTCAATATCAAAATGTGCCACTGCACCTGGATCCTTACTTGCCAAGGATTCGACAACACCAACTTCAACGAAAAATTCATCTCGACTCTCCTTGAATATTAAAACTCCGTCCACTGATCAAGGCCTGCAGATGTCGCCTGCTGTGACCGATTGGGCCGAATTGCATGGCAGCAGTGGGGCTCTGAATCTTCCAAAAGGACTAAATGATCCCGAGACCGACATTTCGGACGGATATTTAGATGAAGTTTCGGACCCACCGACGCCAAAATCAGATGACAAACATAGTCTACCACAAACTTCGGACGCTAAAAATTTGTCGACTGGTACGGACAACAGACCGGGACTGGAATTCTTTTCTGAGAGCAACAGATCAACGAGACCTAAAGTTACGAAGTTATCCGGCACTAAAACGAAACGGAGAACTGCTAAAAATAGTTCCAAATTATGAGAATCCGAATAGTAGATTGTATTACACCATTATAGGTAATACTAGGCAAGTATATACCCTTGTTTATTTTTCATTTATTTCTTCATTACCATTGCATTTATCGTGACTGTGTGCCCAAATGCTTGCGCCCAATACGTAATATTTTCTGTAATAATTTTACTATAATGCATTAATTGCTATTAATTATTTCTGGTGTTTATAATTATTACTATCGCAGTATAGAATTTTCTAAGTTATGTTCATTCAAGTATGAATCATGTTTATATTTTGATAACCATACACGACTCATACTTGATTGAGCATGTATAGAAATTTCGGCATGCTTTTCTAAAAAATGAAACTGTGACCTGACGCTGCTACTATTCTACTTGAATAGTAAATTATAAAGTATAATCGTATTTATAAATGTTGATATTAATAATAATAATATTTTTAACAAATGTTATATCTAATCTAAAGTAAGTATGTTCACCATTGCGTTTTTGTTCACCAATGCTTTTTTTTTCTGTACTAATTTCTGCTCCGAATGCTGCTTTTGTTGCAATTTTTTTACAATCATTTGCCTGCGTGGAACTAATTTTTATTTTCGACTTCTTGTACCGACAGAAAGGATTCATGTTGTGCTGCACTGAGTATGTTTATACCGCTTCATACTTGGTTCAAGTGTGGTTGTACCCAAAGGGACACACTAGAGGAAATCTGGCCTTAACTTAGTGATTAGATTTTCAGCCAGCTTGAACCAGCACTGGATACAGCTTTTATATAATTGGTGTAATAGTCACGACTCACTGCACATGGTTTTTTGCTTTTATTTATTTATTTATCGACCGAAGTGTTTACCAACTGCTATGTTTGTTTGCATGCGTGTGGTTATTTATTAAAACCCTTTCTTTTTTTCTTGTCGATTTTATCAATGTTCCACATCAATAATAAAGTATTTTTTATCAATTTTTTCATCTCGTTTTGAATACCGTAGTTGTGAAATTTTGAGATGTTAAAAAAACTATATGCAAGACTTGGGATTTTCGCACATTACCCAACAAGATACACGTACACTTCGCGGAGTGGTGTTTCTTTTCTAAACTGACGAAACGGCATGTGCATTATGGAAAGTGATAGGTTTATGTCCTGACAATTCCTTGTGTGAATCCAGTTTATATTCGGTTAATGACCTAATAAACTTATCTTTTAGCCTTTATATATATATCCTCGTGACGCGAAGTCATTTGACATTCCTCCAGCAAGGAGTGCATTTGTAACCTTATAGCCTTCAGGTCTGAGGCCTCCCCACCCATTCCAAACACAATGAAATAGCATTAATAATCCTTTTTCGCAACACGGACAAACGAGTAACTTGAATTCTCTGTAGCAGATGGAAGAAATATTGTGAAGGGTTTGCTTAAATTCGAGCTCTAACGCTGCTAAATTGTAAATTATAAACAATCGGAATTCATTATTATGGTAATATCTATTTATTATTCACATAAATTAATACAATGTTGAAGAAATTTAAATAATTCATAAAACTTTATAATTTCATATGTACACACTTTACGAAGTTTATAAATACATTTCATAGACAAAGAAAGAAATATGGTGCATAGTCAACTCTATTCATACGCTTCTTGCTTATGATGGACAGATAGTAGAACTTTAATAAAGCGGTATGTTTCGATTAATCACAGCGTCGTGCCGCTCTTGCGAGCGAAATTTACCGCCAAGCAAGTATATCTCAAACGTCCCTATCTGCACTAAGAGCTATAGTTGTGATTACGTATGCGATGTTTGTCGTCGTGTTTGGTGCCGAGCTAAGGGTACGTAGCAAGTGAGGTAGCTTTTTTACATTGCATTTGTCGTCACTATAAATGTCCCCGCTTCTGTTTTTAACTTTATATATCAGCTACATTGTACATAATCAGCTACAGTTCATCTTATTCTATTCTTGATATGTAGAAATTGCTTCGCCTGGCGATGACCAAGATGACGTTTAGTTGACTTCAGATTTCAGTAACAGAAAGCAAAATTATTCAATCATTTGGTAATGATTCTATTGGACTTGTCAGCTTCGCTCATTGTACTTGATGTGTATGTAGTGGTACCTAAAAGTATATGGTATATATTGTTTTTGATACCATAACATTTACGCATAATATGAGTGTTTTCAAAATAAAATAAAAAAGATTAAAAATTTATAGCAAAGGCATTGGTGAAATGGCACTAGTCGCAACGGCATAGTAAAGTTTTCAATGCTATTCATTCCGTAACTATAGCGCAACATTGAAACTAGTACAATATTGTACTGTGAAAGACAATATATATATGTATCCTTAAACGTTCATAAATCTAACCTGTATGATGAGTTGTTTTTGTGCTTGGAAACAACTTTATTATCAAGGCGATAATCGCTTTTTTGAGTCCAGCCAGATCCTTTGCCAGAATAACGGGACAGATTATGCTGTATAATATCGGAAGAGAAAGCAAAACGCTGCTTATAGACTGTTTGGTGTATTCTTGACGGACGCTATCAATCAGTAGACAAACCTGAAAAAAATCAATAATTTGTTTATTAAAACTATCTATGGTTCATACGGGCCCTACATTTTACCCCAAATTATGATGTTTTGTATAAATAAATCACTGACTCACATCAAAATTATATTCGGAATCTTTTGAATATACCCTCTGACATTCGGAACAATTATTTTAACATTTACTGACATTGAATTCTATGACAATACTGTACTAGTCATTCGACTTTCGTGCCCACATGTTGGAGCACTTTTTTTTGTTTGTTGATGAGTGTAAGATCTTACCATGGCTGGGAGTGTGCATGCGAAGAATAGTAAAGTGAGGTATGTCAATTGTTTAGAAGCTGTTCTAAGCCATCTCGCGCGACGTCTTTTTCTTCTCTCTAACCGACGACCTTTAACAGTATTTTCTGAAAAAAAAAATGAATCAATAAGCACAAAATCATACCCTTTTTCATAAAATATTTTATGATTTCGATGAGGTGCTGGCCATTGATAAAAATAAAATAAAGGAAAGGGAATACACAGCGCCATTGTTCCATGCCATGGCCACTCTTTCTAATATTGCCTCATATGTTTATTTTGTAGCATTTTTTTTTTCATTGTGACTTACTGTCGTTGATGATGGATGATCTCTTATCATCTGTACACGATATTCTTTTATCGATGGTTGAAGATTCGCACGCCTGTTTCTTGTCCATTACTTTGTCATCTTCTTTGACAACTTTAAAAGTATCTGTGCGATCAAGGCCGTCTCTATCATATTTATCATCGGATTCCATGCAGTTGGTTGAGAAAATTTCGGAATGCCTGGGATACATATAAATTACAAATAAATATGTATACTATAGTATTTTTATCCATTATTAGTATAACGCCTCCTACTAAGATAAAGTACCACTAAGTATAATGGTGTCTAACATTAACATGTAGTCTATTGAATTTATTACCTGAAAGTTTTGAAAATCATGAAAAACAAAGCAGACATTTCCAAGGTCCAAACGACGACCGTCACCAGCATGTAAGAGTTGCTCAACGGAGTAAAAACACGACTGCAAGATCTTTGAGGTGTAGTTTCCATGTTCTCCAGACTGTAGCAACCGCTTAAACATTCACATGTGTCGCTGCAATTCCACCCAGCAAGTGTCAGCAAAGACATTGTAGTAGGCAAGGTCCATGCAACTGAAAATGTTGGAATATTAATATATGTTACTGATTCATCTTTTTAACATAAGAAAATTATATTCTTGGTACTCTATGTTTGGGAATTAGGGACAACAACCGAAATTTTAAAATCCTTACTTTATTCTATTCAACATACCTGCAACGAGAGAATATGCTTTACGGCGTTGCGCTTGTGCAGATGGTATTTTTGTTTCACCGGGAGACCACGATCGCAAGGATGCTGCTTTGGCGATGACGTAGTTTCCAGCTCGTATTGCATAAATCAAAGCACCGATGTTTCCAATCATGATTAAGTATGTTGCGACTGTGAGAGCCTTTCGGAACAGCCACCATTGTCGTACAGCCGAATTCCTATACAAAATAATGTGATAATTAACATATATATTCGTGATCATGATCATTCGGCGCTAACGTCCGTATACAAAATTTAACTTACTCTTTTGTAGGGTTGCCTTCAAACTGGTGATAATGGTTAATTAATTGATAAGACGACAATGTTGTGAAGAGGATATTTGACATCAAAACGCTGAATACGTATATATAAACGTTGTTCTGCTTCAGTTTTGACCTATAACGTTTTCAATATATCGATTCATTAACATTGAATATTATCCTCCTACCTATGATCCATTCCGGGGGTGTTATTTGACATCCTATGCATCACCAGATTATGATAATGATATTAATGAATATTGCTACGATTCATAGTTGCACGATTTTTGCAATAATGTATAACTGATGAGTAGTAGTACATTACATCCGGAATTTTTATATATTTGTCTTTTGATGGATAGATGTATTTGCACAAAACTTCCCGTCCAAGTTTCGCAGAATAAATGTGATTATGACACGCCATTGGCGTATGATATATTGTAACAACTTAATAAAATACTTTTTCGATTGCCAGAATCATTTTGGCCGTTTTGTAAAATAATTTACGCACTCGAAAACTCTCGATTTTCACAAAATTGTCTTACCTGTACAAAATAACAGCAACCAAAACCAAAATATTGAATAGAAGTGCTGTAATCGGTATAAAACTCAATATTAGGACGTGCGAGTCTTTTCTGCTGATACACGTTGAATTACCCAAGACTTCAGTAGTTTCTATCTCTATTGTGGTAGTCGCAGACATTTTAAAATGGCTATTGAATATAGGTTATGTTAGCAAAAAGATATCTGTGGAAGAAAAGTTAGAACTGAAATATTTTCTGCGTAAATTATTTTAAATAAAGTTAGAAAAACAATCATTACTATTTACTTTGGATTGATAATAATTTCCAAGATATATTTTATCATAGGTATTATAAAATAACCAATGTACTTATATATTTTTTATACGTCTTCACAAGAATATATTTCCTTTATATTCTGAAGAAGTGATCGAAAGTTTATTTTGCTTAAAATATCATTATTCTATGCCAAAGTGCGTAAATAAGGCACAAATTTTGACATATTTTATTGTTATTCGAAGGTTAATTACTGTAAAATGACATAAATATCAATTATCTGTGTTGTCTATGAACGTGTTTTGAATACTGAGAATGAATCAAAAAGCGAGACAGTTTATTGTCAATGTAGTGAATATTGTGATTCATTACCTTTTCTTTCCCAAAATGTATCGGAGTATTATTTTCGACGTTTAATTTACGCTTTCATATTTTTGCGGTGTTTTTTTTGTAATTTGACATTTAGTTACATGTTTTATGACGTAATAAAAAACACGTTTGCCTAATTTTAGCCAATTCAATTTCGTGGGTGAAATGACAAATATGACAAAATATTTAGAGACAAACGTAAGTTTACGACATAGAAAATTCCATCGACTACACTTTCAAAGTCCTAAAATTTTTCCAACTTTATCTTCATTTGACTCGATGATTGTAATACACCGATCGAAACGTTATAACGTATTTTGTTTTGTATTTCAATTGTGTCACTGCCTGTATTTTTAGTCAGTTATACCTATTAATACTATCTATTGAAATTCGATTCTGTAAGTTGAATATTCATTTTAAAATGACTCAATAGTGCCTCTAACAATAATTTGTACCGGAATGAACTGAATTACTGCAAATAAAGAAGTAAATGTAGTAAAAACGATAATGTCATATGTATTCGTTTTATCAAGAAAACATTGCTGTATTTCGTCAGATATACTGATACTTGAGTTTGTACAGTCAAAAAGGCTGGGATGTTTGCAATGAATTATTTGTTGATATCAAATTTTCTCCACCTCAAATTTTCTCATATTGCCATGTTTAAAATGTCATTCAAAAAAAGCAACAAAAAATCCTGTATATTACCGATATATTCCGATGAAGAAAATAATGTTTTTAATGATATCTATCTAAAACGTGCTTCAAAATAGAATATTAATATAGGTAAAAGCGATTTGCTTCCAGACTATTTACAGTAATTTGATTACACTTAATATCTTTATTTTTAATTAAATTTATATGTTTTCAACTTAAAAAAAACACGCATGTTCCTTTTACTATTTTCCTTTTCAATAACTCATCTCTGGATCATGCGACGATCGCCCAGACTGCATTATATAATTGCGATTTCAAATAATGGCGAGCAACATTAACGAAATATTATATTTTATAATTTCCTGATATGTCTCGCCGTGATTATTGCCTAAAATAGAATTTCATAATTACGATATTATAGTAGTCCACACTGAACGTAAAATGGCGCGTAAATACTGAGCGCACGAAAAAAGTAAAAGTAAAACATTAACCTTCCAGTGTATGTTCTGAATAATACATCAGCTCAAGAATTTCAAGTTATTTTCGTGTCCAAGGTGCTGGTTAGGGTTAGGTGAGAAAGGTTATTTGATAAAAGATCCCTGTCCGCTGTACAAACTTGAAATACTAAAACTGCTAAAAAACGCTAGTTTTCATGTCATTAATCATTTGAAGAAAAATAATGTTATCTTGAGTCGTTTTTCGTTTTTATGATATTTTTTAACAACATGAGCATATATTCTTGCAAATTTATCGTTTTCGTATTTAACGAAAGGTATTTGAGTGCATCGAGAAGATATACATTATCTAGAATCGAAACGTAATTTTTGTGATTCATTGTACATTATTATGTTACATTATAGGTGTTAACATATGATGTATTCCGACATTATTTGTCCCGCATATTACGGTATTACGGGTAATGATGATTAACACAGCAGGAAACATGCGTCGGTGTTTGTTCCAGTCACAAAATACTTTCGTATTTAAACAGAATTTATCGCAGGCCTTGTTTGGAACTTATCTTTTGAAGATCTAACATGCTTGGCTCATAGAAAGCAGATGACCAGTTATAATTTGGTATTATGAGTGTGGGATATAGTGGGCAAATGATTCAATGGAATACCAAGAAGACGGTGAAATGTAGAAATTTTTAAATTTCGATTTGCAGTTGTTGTGCTGCTGCATTATTCATTATAATTGTACATACCTCCTGTAGAAAACACAAATATTTATCACGTTCTGTCAAAAAGATACGTCCGCATAACGAATTGACAATCTATGATTAAAAAAAATGTCCCGATTTTTTGTTTTGAGACAAAATTTCTATTTTCTGTAATAAACCAGATAAACTGAAATCATAAACATGGCAGAAATTTAATTTTTCTCATAATTATTACAGGTAGGATATTCGTGGGTTAAAACCCTATATCATTGTTGCAGTCAGTCTCGACCCACAATCTAATCGGGTTCAAATTTTGTACCCACCACCTCACCCCAGAGTGCGATAAATTGGGTAGGTAATGCTGAGCTTGAGTATTTCCATACCTGGTATTGGCTGCTTATGCAGACCCTTGTTTGGAGTGTGAAGTTTCTAAAACGTCATAAAACATAATCATTATGACATATGGTCGTGTCTATTTACATTTACACCAACGCAAAATGACACTATTCGGTTCGGCGTCACTCTGAATCGCTTCATTATTGCCATTAAATTCATTTAAATAATTATCGACGCATATCATAATTATGGTATTTGTCACATCTCGTCTATTACTATTTTTAATAATAATATAAACAAATGCGATTAATAATATGAAACGGATAAGTAAATCAGACTATGTCTCATAACAGACGGCGATTATTCTGTCTGCCGTGATTTTACTAATGAGGGTGGGCAAATAATATTCAAATATCATCTAAATTATTAAACGAACTATATTACTATACTCGATGTCTCATTTTCAACGATATTTGTCTATCTTGGTTCATCTATTATATAATTCATTAAAAGAATAATAACATAATACCTATTTATAATCTATCTTATATGAAGATTGAGAGTCGTTATCTTGTTCAAGACGACCTATTCACTTTCTATAACTGACGTGCATGCATTTACTTCGATGTAATATAACCATTGAATTTATAATAATGTTTTGTGGATTTAATACAAACATCGCCTCATCGTAAAGGCATTACAAACTTGACTTAAAATCTCTCTAGTAATAAAAACAGTATATCAGTATAAATATTCGACTAAATTCTATATTGTAATACTTTATTCTGAAACAATAAATTCTAGATGTTGATCGCTCGTATTTAGAACCCGATCCGTGAATAGTACACTGAAGACTAAATTGTCGCGTTTCTTATCCACCACCCTTTTGCTCATGCATTGACTGGACGAATGACAATATCGTTTTGATGCATTGAAACTATACCTCTGTCATTTTTTTCTTTGCGTTTTTCAGATTTCGACTCTCATTTAAATAAATTTAAGATAGAAACATCATTTTAATGTTAATTAAAGAATGACATTCTGATGTTAAAATAGTGATGATTAGTTGCGTTATTAGTCATTGGCGATCATGTATGGCCGAGGTTGTTTGTGGTCAAATTTCATACCGAAAAGCTATGATGTCATGAAGTGGTCAACTGATATAAGTTCTTATCAATAAATTGTATTATACTTATCATAGATGGGCCGTACCTTAGCGAGGCAAATTATCTATTGCACGTGATAGGTTGAACATAACAATTATTCTGCATACGACGCTGCTTCGAAGTGAGAAAACGTTATAATGCGTAATCAAAAGTTATTAAAAATTATTACCAATAGATATGCACAACTCATATTTCATGTAAATCAATGATTTAATATATTGGATTATTGAATGCTAATGGATGAATAATGATTCCATAAAGAAAACTACAACACCTATCGTGTTCTCTTGCAAAATATATTTTTCGTTTTCGTGTATTTCGCACAGCACAATTTCAATGAATGATGAAAATGAAGTAATTACCCAACAAATAAAATTAGCCTAAGATGTATTGTGTTCACCAAAAAAAAAAAAATCTTTTCGCGATACGTGATCTATGCAAAGCACTTGAAACTTTTTTGATATAAAATAATTCGAACTATTTTCCCTTCCTAATTGAGTCAAATAAAATTAACATTCTGATTGGAATGACGTCAATGGATAGATTTTACAACACTTCCTTCGGAAGCTTATTTCAAAATGGAATCCTATTTTAAAAGTTATCCACGGTCTACACATAAACTTTTTTTTACCTCTACCTTAGCGTATACCCGAGGTGTCATTGGATCTTATATCTTTCTATATACTGTTTCAAACCGGCGTTTGGCACAAACAGTTCTCTCACCTAAGTCAACACTTTCCTTACGTATAGGCCGCTTCTCTACTTTTAGATATGACAGTTTATATTGGCTTACACACGAACAAAGTAGCCAATCTACTACTTCCTTGATGTATTACCGCAGAAACTAAGCAAATGACCGATACTTAACCTTTATTGATGTTATTCTTTTCTTGTTTTTTAATGTTAATACTAATTTCCGCGTGATTTCTCTAAATCACCGGTAGACGCAATGTTGTCAGTACGCACCACTTCTTCACCTGACGTCACAAAAAAGCCGTTTTCAAAGCATGCAAGAAGCTAGGAGTCACTGAGAAAGTTCCAGATTTGATGAACACAATTTGTAAGCTTCACTATAATAAAAATTCACACAAATTTATCATTTTGTTAAGGATGAAAAACACGTTTGAAGCAATTATAAAATGGGTGGTTATAATTGCAAGAATTAAAAAGTAAATTAGTGTGCTTAAGTATATCAACAATTCTGCATTCTCTATACGGCGGTAATTCGTCAGATACATTCTGCAGTCTTACTAGTACGTG